GTTAAAATTTTGAAAAACAAAGATAATGACTTTTAACGATGTTTTTTTCAAAAAGTCGTACTCGCTTCCTTTCACATATTCGCATTCAATCTGGTGCAATCTTCATCGTTGGCTATCACCCATTTGGTGAGACTACCAAACACTAATTCTTCCTGTTGTATTACATTGGCCAACTTCCGAGTAATATCTATAAATATTCTTCGATTCAGAACCCAATATATTGATTCTGTCGTTAGAAATAAAATTTCGGATTGCCAATTTTCAATGATTGTACAAATATCGCCATATAACAAAGAAGATGCGTCTTCAACCTTGGACCATTGTCTCTTCCTTGGTGGTTTCCATGGAGTTTCTTCCCATAGCAAAGCGGTTATGGTGAGAACACAACCATTGTTACTCACCATGTCCAATATAGAAATCACAAGCGAAGTATGAAAACTCACCAGAAACCACCACCATTCATTGTAGAACTTATCATCATATTGAACCCGAAGATCTACTATGGAGATAGAAAGCACAATGTGGTCGATTCCAATGAGATTTGTCACACTACAACCTAAAACAAAAATCATCATTCCCCATAAGAAGAAGATGAAACGATTTAGAAACCGATCACCATTCCCATAGTGAGAGAGGATAGTCTTTGCGAGAGAGATCACCATGAACAACCATCAACGATCGACATCGGAGAACCGCCGTAATAGTGAATCGCCATGTAGTAATGCAATCGCTTTTTTATCGCAGGAAAGAGAAGAGAGAACCGTTTTTTATTTTACTTGTTCAAACGTTGGAGATTATAAACGTTGATGAGAGAAACCGTCATCAACAATTAGAATCTATCATTGGAAACCACCGTAATAGAGATCGGTGCAACAATCGCCTAAGAGAGAGAGAATGGTTACCATAGATTATTGGATTATGGGTTAAATGATCGAATTTAAATAAAACTAGTTTCTTTTGATAAGTAGTACATTTATGGACTAATAGTAATATAGAATCTTAATTTATGATTTAAATCAAATATTTGGTAAAGTTGGTTTAGTGGAGATTTTGTTAAAGTTTTAGTTTATTTAAATATTTTTGATTAAAAAAAGGTTAGTTGAATTTTTAATAATGGTATATATATATAGTGAAGGGTAGGCATTTAATCGTGGGTTTAGGTTATTAGTGGGCAAACTACAAATGGAGGCTAGACATATTATCGTGGGTTGAGATAATTAGTTGGCCTAGATTTTTTAATTAGATCTAAGAGAATTTTTTTCAATTGTGTTTTGTTATTTCATTGTGTGAGAGGGACTAAGAGATTGCAATGTTATATTATAGAGATTGTCATGCCATATTTGTGTTTGGGAGAGTGAATGTAGAGATGACATATAAGTATTTTCTCATAAATCACTTTCCAAATAATATATAAGGGATATAAGGGATTACTAAAATATCTCACACATATCTCTATATATGTGGACAAACATAAATGATTAACCTAAATAACAGACATAGCTATGAAAACATTGTTCCTAAATGGTGGACACATATCGATGGACATATGTATGGGATGGTGGAGTTAGTTTCCAAACTGGCTGGCAGATATACATACATAGCTGACTAGTCCACATATATCTCTACATGTGGACATACATGTAACATCTGAGACAAGCTTTTATTTGTATATCCTAAACTGGGTAGGTACATATATGCACATATTTGAAAAATTCAGTAAAATTGAAAATGTACAACTCTAGGAACATAACACCGCTGACACTCAAAAGTTGGTTGATGGACATAGTGTTCCATAACGGGTTGGGCCAACCAAGCATGTTTCTTTTGCAAAACCAGTCAAAATCCATTATGTCTGACTATGGCGATAAAGTTATTGACAAACATAGAAGGGTAACTTAAATAACACACATAGATGTGACCACATTTTCATGCGATAAGAAAAAACATGAATGTCATGTCATTCATTACCTACACTGGAGACGTACACAAACCAATTGCTATTTTGACGGCGTTCGATGATCAATAACTAAGAACCATAGTTTCTCCAGTAACTCCAAACTCGCTTGAAACCAAACATTCCGATTTAGACATTGGAACACCATCTTTCAATGGAACAACCCTAGAAAGCCGCTATTTGTCTATAAAAAATTGACATTGCCAAATTGCCTTCTCTTTTACAGCACGACTCTCCGCAAATGGCACTGGTTGTCCATGGTACCCTACAAAGACACATACAAAATCCAGTGATTATCCACGCATCGTCGACCATGGAATCTTCATCCGCATTACCGTTTTCTATCGTACCTCACCACAAACACATCAGTGTGCTGAAAACCTATGAACCCCTCTTCAAGATTTAACCTAGTTATCTTTTTACCGCAAACCCATCTCCTTTTTTTACAAATGTAAATTTTGAGCCACACAATTTTGTACACCATCCAACGGTTGTCGTCTATAGATTTGCTTCGAACAAAAGACCTGATTAAAAACGTCTGAATCAAAACATTTTAAATACCCACTTGTGTGTGTGACTGAGAGCCCACCTGACCTATAACTAACTAGATACTAAAAAAATTAGTTTGTTTTTCTTTTTTCATCAACTATTAAGGTGTTATTAATATGTAATTTTTTTTGTTTTTGTTTTCCCCATATAAATGGCTCGTTAGTTCTTTATTGTCCATTTTGAATTTCTTGAAATTCAAAACAAAAATTACATAGTAAAAATTAAACCTCAAACATCGCCCATAACGGTCCATCTTGGTTTCAAGCTCTCTTGTCTGATGAGTATGCTAATGAACACGAGAGCTTGTGATCAAACATTTTTATCGCCTCATTTTTTGGTGGGGATCTTCACGTGCCGGTCGTGGAGAGGCGTTAGCTTTCCACACCTTGAATCTTTGCTTTTCTTATTTTGTAAACACCTATTATTGTCTTGTGAAACTTTGCTATGTTTTTTATGCCGGAATCGGCTATTAATAAGATACATCTTTTCAATGTTAAAAAAAGAACATTTCTTCGAAAAATAACAAACGCTCCATATATAAAATTTTCACATAGTAAATGAAACGACATATATTCTAAGTCTTATTTTCAACCGGATAATATCGTGCCATCGAAAGAAGTGATGAATTTCGCTTAAATGAATCCTCCATCGAAGAAAGTCGTTTTATAAAAACGATTTGACTTTTCAAGTTAAATTGTACACTAACTTAACACATTGTGAATACAAATAATCTCTCTTGGATTTCATAGTCGAGGAAACATGTGATGCATTTAATATTTTAGAAAAAAAGTATTTTTTTTTTGGAAATGAAGACGTAAGGGATAAAAACCAGATAGACGATAAAATCTAGAATTTTGTTTTCCAAAAGTATGAATTCAGAGCCAAAATAGATTAAAATTTTATGGGCACATTTTTAACAGAAAAAAGGAAATATTTCAACATAAAACAAAACTATGTTCATCCGACGAGCTAAAAATTAATGATAAAAATGTAAGAGATGAGACACATATCAATGAAAACATGACGTTTTGTTTTCCAAAATCACACATCTTTTTAAATAGATTAAGGGTCTGACTGGTTACATATTAGAAGAAAAGAAAAAAAAAAAATCTTTTTTTGGGTTAATTTGTTGAATACCAAAAAAAAAAAAAATTATATATGAAAAAGTAGCCAAAACCCCTAAATCTAATGGTTATGATTTTGCCACCTAGAAAG